CCTAATCTGCGTCACAAAACTTTCCACTCCGGAAGCGCGGCCTCACGGGCCGTGGCTCCCGGCCTGCGGAAGCCGAGCTGGAGCGAAAAAGACCTGCGGAAGGAAGCCCAGGAGGAGCAAGATGCCCATCCATCCCCGTTTCCGGGCCCTCGGCGGCCCGGCCTCTCCCGCTCGTGGGCCGCAGCGCCGCCCAGCCACCCGACACCACACAAAGGAGGCCGCCGCCATTACCCAGCGCGAAGGCCACCCCCCGCGCCGCCCCCTCCCACATTCCAGGGCTGCGTTCCTCCTCCCGCTCACACGCGCGTGCACACACACACACACGCCAACGCCGCTCGGCTCTGACCGGAATCCGAGCCGCGCACGCCGCGAGCGCCGGACCCCTCAGGACCAGAAAGGTCCCCGTTCGTGAACCACCGCGCAGCGCCACCCTCCCCCCACCCACCCATGGGTCACTCGTCAGTCGAGGTTCGCGCGTGCGCGCCTCTGCGAGGGCGCGCGCCCCCTCCCCCTCCGCCCGCCTGCGCACGCACACACAAAAGCCGCCATTGTGTTCGGGCCGGGGACAATACCGCGAGCCAAGTAGGGGCCCCAGCGACAGCCACAACTAGCATTCCTGTCACCTTCCCGTCCCCCCACAGCCCTGGGGCATTCACACTCGCCAGCCCGAGGGACCCAGCAAATGGGAACTGAGGATACCAGCTAGCACTGCGCCACAAACCATGTTAGGTCAGGAGAGGGAATTCATGCAGCAGCAACCCTGGTAGGCTCCCTGCGGCTCACCTGCTGGTCCAGCCCGAGCGCATTTTCCACCGCCACATGACTCATCCCTGAAGAGTACCGAGAACTCGGAGTCTTCCGCTGCTGAGCTAATGTGTTTGGCTCACCGCAAAGGCCCTCTCACGGGAGAACTGCGGCTCTAAGGCGCACGGCGCGGCCACGGATCTAATATACCCGCTGGAACGGCTGCTACGTCAGCACGTAAGACGTGTGCCCTCCCTCTCACACCCGCACTCCTCCCGCCGCTACGACTTCTGCCTAGCTACTGCGCTCTCGTTTAGTCCTAACCTCGCGGGATTTCCTAGTCGGTTGCGTCCCCAGCACGTCGTCCTACCTTGGCACTGAGAGCGCCAAATACTGTCCTAGTTCGCTTGAGTTCCACTTCCCCTGCCCTCCGCTATTACCCTAGCCGAGGTCTAGGAGGTCTCGAGATCTCGCGAGAATTCCTCGCCTCCCGCTTTCCGCCAGCTGGGAAACCTTAAAATCTAATCCAGGCCTTTACCCCTTTTCTTTCCGTGACGTCCCGAGTGTTCGCTGTTCCATTGTTTCTTGGGAGCGCTCTCTCTTTTCTCTCTCAGCCCCCCGGACTTGGAGATGTTGTGAGATTTCTCCAAACTAATTGGCCCTAGCGTTTTCGCGGGCAGACTCCCCGAAATCGGTGTTAGGCCGACAGACCCAAAGCCCAGGGGGCGGCGGGTCACGTGACTGCAGGTGTCGAACGCGGAGGCCATTTTGTGGAGCAGGAAACTGGTTTTAAATAGAGTGTTCGGAATCGGGGGAGGAGAGGGGAAAGAGGGAGGGAGGAGGCGGGAAGAGGGGGAAGAGGAGGAGGGGAAAAAAGAGGAAGGGGGAGGGAAGAGGGCGGGATGGGGACCAGGGGAGTGGAGGGGAGCTGGCGGCGCGCGCAGGTGGTGAGACGCTTTACCGCGCGGTTGCCTAGGCAGTGGGGGCACCACCTAGGAACGCCGGAGCCCCTCAGGTTCTCTACACCTCGTTGACCCCGCGCCCCCCCCCACGAAGCGAGAGCGCTCTGGCGCGCGCGTCCCCGCTCCCCGCGGTGTGGAAACAATGAGACAGTCACGCGCTGAACTAGAGTGGGTGGTAGCGCACCCTCCTGAGACCCCAGCCCTCCGCCGGCACGACCGCTCAATTAGGCCCGTAGTTTCCTCCTGCGGGGGCGTCCAGCGGCTCAGGGCCGATGGCCACCGGCGTGGTGCTGCCTCCCTCAAAGCCAGAGGACCCTGGGGATGGAGAACGGCTCTCCTAGGGAGTCGGGGGTGTTTGTGGCTGGGCGTGACTAAGGAAGTCTACAGCATTATCGGCCTGGGTTTGGGGTGACCCTCAGGCCACCGCGGTGGATGGGGAATGGGAGGAAATGGGTTTTTGCCATCGGAGGAACCCCTTCTTCTGATCCCCTCCTAAGGAAGTGACCCCTAGTCCCAGCCTCGGTGCTACAGAACCTTAAATAGAAGATGTGTTGACTAGTGGATCCGTGGCTTTAAGCGAGCGGCCTCACAAACGTGGTTCTTAAAAACGTTTTCCCCCCTCTCCTCTGACCCTCAGCCTGACAGAAATAATATACAGAGTTTTCCACCATCCCTCAAAGGATCTTCTGCTGCCAGAATTCAGATAACTAGTTCTCATTACGTGATCTACCACTTAACTTCTCTCCCTTTCCAATTTTTAAAATTGAAACTGAAATTCTAACGAGGTAGGGAGATAATATAACACTTGTGTCCTGGGCAAGTTGCTTAACTGCTTTGGGTCTCAATTTCCTCATCTATAAAAGGAGCTGGACTACATGACCCTGTGAAAGACCCAACTCCTTTTTATAACGAGTGTTTTGTAATGCACCCTTTAACCATACTGAAATAACAAATCATAGATAATAGAACCTAAACTTAATAACACACACTTTCAAAAAACAGGACCTAACTGGAGAATAAAAGCAATTATAATAAAGCGATGTATTTTATGTGAATGCTCCCACACAAGGACACTAAATGATATCTCCCTGGTGCAGTCACAAATGCAAACTGAAAAAGTGTGTTTTCACAACTCAAGTACCGTAAGCAACGTTGCCATTGGTGACCTTATTTTCCAAAATGGCGAATTCTTGGTAATGTTTGAAACAAAACATAGTAGTCTTCCCTCAGTTGATACAGTAGTTACATTCCTAGAGAATTCAGTGTATTTATATCGAAACTGGGTAAAAATACTTTTGTTTATATGTAAAATAGTGTTAGTTCTAGGCTTATATAATGATGAACTAGTTTTTCACTTAATGTGAGTATCTGGCGGGTCAATTCTTCGCTGTATGGTACTGTCCAGGATTGTAGAATATCTAGTATGCCTGGTCTCTGCTCACTAACTTCCCGTAGCCCTTGCTAGTCATGGCAACAACCAAAACAACATTTCCACAGTGCCCCCTTGAGAACTATTAAGCTTAATGATCATTAAGATCCGTTTCAGCCCTAAGATTCATGGATTCTTATAGAGTACGGGTGAGGCGTGTTTTTGCTTGGTTTTGCTTCCCTTTCATACAGACCAGGGTAAACAGTCTAAAGCTGTGAGTTCTGACAGTTCAAACTGCATATAGTAACGATGGGATGTACCGAGTACCCAGGTTCTGGGCTTTATTTTGCTTTTGAGTAGAGCCGGTTTACAGGGTACTGCCATGGGAGTACCTAAAAAAATTAAAATACATAGCCGTTTCCTATTTTCAGTTACCCCCTGCTCATAGGCTTACTAAGTTCAAACCACCGGGGTGTTTCGTTACTTTATTATAATTGGAATATCAATTTGGAAAGGAAGCAGCGTAACATAAAGCTTTGTCTTCAAACACATTCATTCTGAAAAAGGTTGGGCGCACTTGAAGTAGCTAAATGAGCCAACTTTCACAGAGCTCCGAATGACTTTACATGCCACTAAGCAGTCATTTGTATATCTTTTCCACAAGCCCGCCTTTGCAAATTTTATTTGAAGGGACTTAAAAAGAGGAGAAGCTGAAACCAGGGAAACTCTTTTCACATGCTCCTTTTCTTACATTCCCAGGCATTGTTAAGCTGAGCACCCATGTTGAAGCAAATATACTATTTGCACCACCCCCATTCCCATCTTCACCCCACCCCTCCACCAAGAGCTCACCAGAGCCTAGGAACTGTAGATCCTTGCACTAGCAGTTCAAATCGCTGCTCTACTGCTTACAAGCTGTGTGACTGGGGGCAACTTATTTGACATCTTAGGGTCTCAGTTTCCTTGTCTATAAAGTTAGAGTAAAAATATTTTCTGCCTCAAAACATGGTTGGGATTCAAGGGCTCATGCATGAAAGGAGTGAGACTTTAGTACATGGTGGCTATACTTACACGTCTATCTCCCCATCGTTTCAACTTCCCCAGCAGAGTGGGTTGCTCTGGCACTGGGCTCCCGGAGCACTCGCTGTTCAAGTCTCCACTGTAACACTCACTGTGTTATACTGCAGTTCTGTGTGAGCCCATGGAGGGAAGGGAACTTGTCCCACCCCAGGACTGTACAAGGTGTGGCACACAGAAGCCCAGTAGGTGTTGAAGATCAGTGAATAATGCAGATGCCCGGCCTCTGCAAGTTGTAATGTGGGGCATGTTAACAGGTCTAAATCTATTATTTTGCTTCCACACGTGGCTTTAAGTAAATTTCATCACCACTCTCTGAGACTAAAATAGGCTGAAATCACATTATCGTGATGCAAATAATGTGTCCAAGTAGCGTAAAAGCTTGTAGAAAGATAATTATACTAGTCTGCAACTTAAAGAAAAGCAGTAATAAGAGGAATTCCAAGAGACAGAAATCTCAGAGCCTTTAATCAACTTCATCATTGCCAGTCGTTTTTCTGCAAGGTCCAGGGAACCTTCTGGGTTCAACTGACCCACACTTCCCTGTAATCAGAACGATAATTATAGGTGTGGAGGTAAAAGCAGTTGCCTACTGAGTCTCCTTTTATGTTTTAAAGTGTAATTACCTTTTTGAGTGTTTGTTTGTTTGTTTGTGGCTTAAGATGCAGCAGGTTAAGCTTCCAATACCAGGTAATTTATAGTAATTAGGAAGATGTTACTATGAAGGTTGATAAAAGTTCTAAAGAGAAAAGAGGAGTCTTAGGCACTAGGATATTACTGTACACTTTTATTCTCCAAGGACAAGAGCTGGTACATACAAAACCAGGTTTGTTTTAGACAATTATTATACTCCCAAATAGCAGATCTGGCCTGGAATCTGCTTTCCTCTCACAAAGATGGCAAGGTGAAAAACAAAATTATATTGGAGGGCATCTTCTCTACCACTAACATTGCTAAAAATATTTTCAAACAAAAATCCAGTGTCCATCTGCCTTCGTTCATGCAAAGTGACTGGGCAGTACAAGGAATAAATAACAGGGAAGCCTTGGGTAGAGGCTCTGAACTGGAGGGAATGGGGCAAGGAGGCTGCCTTGCTTTGGGAGAGAAGACAAGGAATCTTGGAAATACAGCAAAGGGGGTCACATACTTTCAAGATTCCATGCTGTGTCTTAGGTAATAGGGGCATTTTTAGCTGTTTCTCTCTCAGGTGATATAGAACTTGGCCATGACCTCACAGATACGGCCGAGTAGCAGTCCTTGTGTTGAAATTACAGTTGTCCCTCTGTATCCATGGGGAATTGGTTCCAGGACCATGCTCAAATACCAAAATCCTCGGATGCTCAAGTCCCTTATATAAAATGGCATAGTATTTGCATATAACCTACACACATCCTCCCGTATACAGGCCGACTTCGGAGGTATTTCGGGTTTGGTTCCAAGGCACCGCGATAAAGCAAATATTGCAATAACACGGGTCACAAACTTTTTACTTTCTCAGTGCATATAGAAGTTATGTTAGGAATTCCCTGGCAGTCCAGTGGTTAGGATTCTGCGCTCTCACTGCTGAGGGCCTGGGTTCAATCCCTGGTCAGTGGTCAGGGGACTAAGATTCCACAAGCCGCGCGGTGCGGCCACAGAAAAAATAAGTTATGTTTCCACTATACTTACACTGTAGTGTATTAAGTGTGCAATAGCATTATGACTAAAAAAACAATGGACATACCTTAATTTGAAAATACTTTATTACTAAAAATGTTAACCATCATCTG